ACGATCGGCATTGTTTACTGATCGAGAAAGAACTCATGAAGTGGCCTGCACTGTGTACTACCATACCTGATGATGGTGCTGCATCAGCACAGTTTAGCTGAATGCTGAACACGAGCCACATTATTGCTGCGAGAAGACCAACGAAGGATTTCATTGCGATTGTATCAACACTCTTCTTCCTGAACAGTAGAGAATCGTTGCAAAAGCCTATAAAAGTTACGCGTTATATAACTGTTGAAGTGGTTTCACTCTCATCGCAGTGGTTTGTTTAGTTGTCGCGGAATGGATTTATCAAGTAAGCTGACAGCAATTTGAACATAATGCAATGCGGAAAGGCATTCGGGTTAATTCCTTTTCTTTTTTTCCTCCTAACAATGCACGAGTTTCAAGGAACTCAATTTTCTTCGTCTCACCTCTAAAAGAGTGCCTCTTTGATTGGGAAGAGCTCAGCTGAAAACTCAGCAAAGATTAGGTCAGGTGAAAGGTTCACGCCATCCACAATGTTCTATTATGCAACCACTTTGACATGGTAATTTTCTCAGCTAGTCGTAAGCATTTTTCGTTTTTTGTGCAAAAGGCGTGTTTTTCTGAACTGGGAATGCCCTTGAGATTAGAGATTTTTCTGCGGTTTCGAAAATTTGAACCGAAAAAAATTCCGAAAAAAACTTTCATCACGGTGATTCCGAAATCCGAAAAAAAAAGACACAGTTCATCAGCTCTATCTCAAATCAAATACATTGAATTAAACCAGGTAGAATCCTCCACCTTTGATCTTGATTATGATTTTTGCATTATTAGCTCATTGTGTGCGTCGAAATCGAGCACTAACCCTCCTTCAAATTTGAATCTTTCACGCAGTCAGAGAAAATCGTCATCTTTCAAACTCACATTTATCATGGCGATCGCATCAGAAATTTATGACAAAAAACAGTAAAGAACAGTTGAGAGCTTTTATTTGTTATCATGGAGTGGTGATGCTTTTTTACAAACAAAGAATTACAGGTAACATTGATGACAAATGGTTCTGATCAGAATGAGCCACTAAGCGGGATGAAATCCTAAGCGTATGCCAGGATATCAGGCAAAGACAAATTTAGCTGGTTCACCCGGCTCAGAAACGAGCGAATGCCTGTGGCGGCTGGCTAGATCCTGAGTTGCGATTGGGCGGACAACTTCAGATGGTATGAAGCCGTTCTCATGAGACTACGGAGCATGGTAGTCTAAATGAGTGCCTCCTGGCATGCGAATGAGACCGCTGAATCGCTAAGGTAATGCATGATGAGTGGCTAGTCCATCGCTTAAGTATAGATCAGAATCCCTGCAGAAACCTTTGATCTTTGTGATGAGTTTGTTTAACGGAGATTCACATCATCATCGCGCATAAATATCGCAGTGTTTGATAAGCTGTATGAACAATGCATTCGTAAAGATATTATTCGCTATAACAAAGGACCAATCGTGCAAAACAGAGCCTTTTCGGGAGTGATATTCTCTGAGCTGAAGCAATCAACAAAAATATTTGTGTTTATTCAATTTGTCGTCGTTCTAAAAATACTTTTTCCTGTTTGTTTTGTCTTCCATGAATGCCATATTTGTTCGAAATAGAAATTCAGCAGTAAACAAAATGAATGTGTGCACAACGCTTTGATTCTTCACTTCCCATAAATTTATCTTGCCTACTGCACAGCCGATTCACATTACGGTTCCAAACCAATCATTGTTTCCACTCTATCATTGAGTGTAATTCAAACAGTTTTGTGTGTGCATTCACTCGATCCTCACAGATATTTTTGATCAACTTAAACTCGCTTGAAGATCACTTGGAATTGTACTCAATGAGACTAGAAATGAGAATGGTAAGGTTTTGTGCGAATCTGTTATTGTCTCATGTGCAAACTACTCACGAAACAGTTAATCGACTTTTATTCGTGAATGATTCCGAACGCTCTGCAGGCATTCCGATGAGTAACTGATGTAGACGGGAACATAACTGTTTTTTTTAGATTCATATGTTTCCGTAGAATAATCAGTGTTTTGTGGACAATCATCCGCAGATAATCAGTGTTTTTAATTTGGAATTTTTGGATATTTTTCTTGTCAACAATTTCAGATCATCATGCTTTAGTGGACAAATTCATATCTGTGATGCGTTCGGACGTTTCGGTCGGATCTGTGATAAATTCATGTTTGCAATAATTTTATTGTTGTTCTCAAAAATGACAATATTGATGCAGTAACGACAAAGCAACGGAAATAACATCGAAATGAACAATAAATTACATTTGGATTGAGTATAGCACTCAGTGCTTAAACAATCAACGAAACAAACATATATACAAATAAATGCAAACGAATAATCCAGATGGTTGATCGGAATTTTCGCTAACTGATAAGGCGTGTTAAATTGATGCTTTCGTTGGTGATAGGTGAAATTTACGAAGCGGAAATAGACCAAAGATAAATGACGTCGCGGCTTCGTCTGTGCAGTAGGTCAGAGATCTTATTTACAGATCGCATTTTCATTTTAGTTCTGATTTTCAACAGTTAGGAGCTTGAACTGAGCTCGCGAATTTTATCCTTATCGTAACGATTGAATGTGAATTAGTGTTTCTGGGTTTTATTATCAGTCATTTATTCGATCGTCATTCTTAATCTCAAGGTATTTTTTAAAGACATTGTTTAGTTTGTCACATGTTTACGTGTAAATGCTTTGATTTGATAGCACTATTTTCTTGGAGATAAAACCCAAAAGCTGCATGACAAATCTCGTTGGCTCAATGTGATCTTTTTGTTGGCAAAAATTAGTGCCTAGTGACGAGATTGCGTGCCATTCTACGACTCAATAAACTGCAGTGTTTATTTTCCACTTTACGCGCTTTTACGGCTAATTATTTTCCCTAATTTATTGGTGACAGCACTTCAGTAATGTCAAAAATTTAATTGCTTATACACTTCGAAGAACTGTGCTCAATGATTACAATACTATTGTTCAATGTATCATAACTGGTGCTATTCACCGGCGTATTTCATGTGGCTGTGCTATTTTTAGTGGAGACAGTCGTCAAGAACTCACTGTGAGACATTGTTTTCGTGGGAGCAAAGGTTAGATCATTGTGGTGATCATTGGAACTGCTATGATTTTTTTTGCTTTCGTGCTTTTTCTTTTTGCGTTCGTGTTTTAGTTGCCTTCGTGCTAAGTTTCTTTGATTTCATTACTCGTTTTTTTGTGCTACTTGTTTTTTTCGTGCTAGTTTTCTTCGCCTCATTCTTCTTCAAATTCTCTAAGCAATAACACAACGGTCTTGTGCTTGGCTCCAACGCACAGTCACCTTGATGCCCGTATTTATCTATACGCGATACCTGAAAAATGATTCATATCAAGCGGACAATGTAGTACTCCGTTGGCAGCATCATCATCATTTGAGCAACATCTTCAACGATATGTCTGAACATTCAAATATCTTTAGCAATATACATATTACGGTTGAGTTTCAAAATTGCAATTTTTTATATGAAACTCTGACGGAAACATTGTACTTGTATTGGTTAGTGATAGTGAATTGATGCTGAAAACAAAACAGTGAATTCATTGCAGTGAATGAATGACCAATAGTAAAATCTCAAACCTCTGACGCTACTATTGGAAGATGTTGATCGTATGTTATGATCGCTTCATATTCACCGTTCGATGGTGATGCTTTGACAGCAACAATCCAAATGTTTTTCTGGATGTGATGCCGATAAGAAATTATCTGAAGTAGAAATCATTGAAGATAGCATAAGCAGGGAGAAAACATCACTGAATTCGTTTCAATAGCTTTTGACGTGCGCTACTGACCTGACTAAATAGT